ATTCATTTAAAGTAGGCTTCAAAAAAATGTGAAACCGACAAATGTCAAAAATCTGTCAATTTATTTAATGTAATAATGCCAATATATATGATATTTAACGTTTAACTATTCTTTATTTCTTTGAATTTCTTTTAAAAAACATTAAAGTTAAGTTGGCTTTTATTCATTTTCAGTAATATTTTCAATGAAAAAAATTCGGTAATTTTTGGTAAATTTTGATTTAGATTACAAAAACGGATCAATTTTTATATATATTTAGTAACAATAACCTATACAGAAGTGACAAGCATTACTTGAATGTAGTTTTATACTCACTTGGTGTTACCAACTGCAAAACAAATCATTTTGTATACAGGTATACGTCTCTGTTTTGCGTCTCTGTATAATTTAAATTTATCTCATTAAATGTGCCTGTAGTTACAAATACCGTCAGACGACAAAAGGTTAAAATTATATTGAACTGCATCAACAACTTATCAAATATTCAAAATCCAAATTACGCTACAATTTATGAACTAACACAAATTACAACTCACTTTTAAAACAATGTATGTTTCTACTGTTTTACATTGATCGATGTAGAAATCGCTATAAGTAGTGTTAGGTAATATGGTTTAAGTAGTTAAATACGGATTATTATTGTTTAATGTTTACACCTCTGGCTTACTAATAAATAATAATCATTTATATTTCCTTTATTAAACTTCCATTATTTAATCATTTAAAATCTTTTGCATTGGTAACATATATTCTTATAAATCAATTGATTTATGAATGCAACGAGGAAATTACATAATAACATAGTTACATTAGTTTTTCTTTTAAAATACGTTAAGTATAAATTTACTTGAGTAACTGATCAAACCAAACCATTGGTAGATAAAGGCAGATGTTGATGTAATTAAATATGTGATAATAAACAAATATGAATTCTAACATGTTGATGTTAAAGAAAAATTTTATATAGATTTAAGTTAACAAATTTACTTTATGTCCTTTAAATGTTAGTAAAAAGTTTGATGATGATTTTAATTATAAAGTTAACAAAAAATTAAGTACTCAAACAATTGTCTTAAGTTGAATGATTGAAACATAAGTTCAACGAAAGTTTTGTTGTCGATTGTATTGAATTGGAAGTTCGGAAGTTCGTCTATTGAAATACCGTTTTCGGTCGACACCGATCGAAACACAACAAAAGGTAAAAGCGCTCCTCGATGTAAAAGGGCCAGAGGATATTTAACTGATGAATATGCGAAGCATACTGTACGGGCAGCAGATGAGACAGAAAGTAATGCACATTAAAAATTTCATGCTTAACATTTTATAGGCTTTAAATGCACAGGCAGCGTATCCTGCGAGTATCCTTGGATGCGCGCACTGAATGCGTATGGCCCATAAATACCCTGCAATAAAAAACCCCAACTGCACATAACGTCCCTATATTCTTTTGTTTGGAAAAAAAAACAACCTTAACCGGAAATTACCGTAAAAAATGCGTAATGCCAAAGTGTGCTCTTTAATGCATTACATTTATTAGGAGCATCCACGAAGAGAAACAAAAAAAATCGTCTCTAATCATACGTCTATGTGATTGATGATCTACGATTTCCTTTCAGCGTGCCGTTGTTGTTGTTGTTCTCGTTCTTTTTTTATGCGGCGCGCGATTTCCATCGTGATCGGTTTGCATTGCATATTATGGTTGGTATTCTCCGACCTGCAGAAGGGCAATCATCCACTAATCGGAAATAACATGGATTACACGTGGATAATTCAAATAATATCTTCTTTATAACGATTTATACCGCGCATTGTTTCGTGCTAAATAACATGCAATGAAACGCATATGGAAGACCATCACTTTCACGCGCTTACGGGAAACGCGATGATCGATGGAGATGAAAAAGTCACTTTTCAATATTGTTTTTCTTTTTCCATTTTACAGTTAGTTTTTTGATAAAATGATTAATCTATATATTTGTTTTTATTATATCTAGAACAATTTAATTTCAAAATATTCTAAATGCAAAATTGTAGTAAAACTCATTTTCCTTGAGAAAAAAACATTATTGATCAATAATAGATGGAGTAATCCTTTTCCAAATCAAAGCAATTATTAAAATTTATCCTTTAATGCAAAGTTTCTCAAACTTTTCCAACAATGGAACACTTAGCAAATCCTGAAATTTTCATGGAACACATAATCAAAAAAAAAAAATTAAAAAATCGAAGAAAACTTCAATATTTATTTAGTAATTTTCAAACAAAAATGATCAATTTACTTTTATTATTTACAAAACTTTGTATTTTCATAAAATTCTGAAAGAATTTTTACAATTTTCCATTAACTATGTGTGATACAATACTTTTACTATTTATATAATTTTACATGTATATGACACAGTTTACGAAGCAATAAATGAAATTCAATCATTGAATGAGTTTTAAAGTAAAGTTTGTTAGTACAGTAAAATTTCATATGATATTTGACGGATCAAACGTCAAGTGGATATAGTTTCTTATCTTAACCCTATTATAATAACAAAAAAGAAATTAATTATGAATGGAAAAAGGTGAAATATTAATTAAATTAGAAGATAATTTAACACGTTAAGGACGTCGCAAATCGGTTTGCCCCATGCGAGAACATTTTTCGTGGACGCCTATCGACTGAGTGAAAAGACAAATATCTTACGTCAATTACGAACTTAAACTTTTCTTATACATTTTTGAATCATTTTTAAACAATTTAGAACAATTGTAAGAAATGTATTTTGTAAAGTATTCATAAATTATGTCACAATATTATACTAAATTACTTCAAGAATTATTAAAATATGTATAAGAAATGTATTGGCATTTAAGCTTTGTAATTGACGTAAAATATTTGAGGTTATACTCAGTCATAATCAGTGACATACATAGTGACAAATCTATTATACATAATTTATGACCCACCGGTGGGTCATGCCGTCATCAACGTGTTAGAGTTAGTGCAAATATATTGAGAGAACGTGGTAAAAACTTAAATTTATCAATAAGAAACATTTTGATATTGAGCAATATAAGAGAAATACTAGTTGTAAGCAAAATTTAAAAAATAACTAATTTGCTAGTTACAACTGTGATACTTTTTCTTGTATTTTATTTTATGTTGAAATTATTTTTTCTATAGATAGTTTTAATAAATTAAACTTTAACTACGATAAAAAAAATGTCATAAATAATCAATAAACAAAACCAAACAATATTAAATTGGGTAAAAAGCATAGTTACTAGTTTTATAATCTATTATTTGTATAAGAAATTATGTTTGTATAAGAAAGCTGCAATATTATAACAAAAATAAAACTATATGTTCAATTTTGCTTTAAATCATTTCATACATTTAGATTGTAGCCGTTTTACACTCGTTATTCGAAGAAAATTAACGAAAAACGAGACGTGTCATTAAAATATTACATATGTACGGCGACTGATAAATAATGTATAAAGTGGCTGAAACACACTTTCACGTACTTCAAATTTGCGACGCGTGTGTTTTTTTCTTTTGGTAAATAAATATTATTTTGGAAAAAAGTACGCGGTTTTTTCTCGCTCTGATAATCATTTTTATTCCCGAAAAACGTTTATGATAATTAATAAATTACTTAATAATCCGTATTGGAGAGCAATTTTCGGCGGTTATGTAAGTATTAAACATACAATATTTGCTCGAACATCGCACTCACCGACAATGCCTGACCGGCATATAAAATGACGAATTATGCGAAGAATGAAACATGAATGTTAATTATTGTAATTTCGTTTAATTACTTCAGAATATGTAAATATTATTATTTTTTAATTTAAAAAAGAAATACATTTTAATTACTTTGTTTGTGTTTCATACATTTTATTGGATTCATACTTTTTTCTCACTTTCTTTATAAATTAAAAGGAAAACAATATTACATTGTTATATATTGAAAAATTTAAATATAATTTATTATATAATAAATAAAAATATCCAATTATAAAAAATAAATATACTTATTTTTTCATAATTTTAAAATTGTAAATTTCTTGAAAAAACTCTACTGAATATTTGTATGTGTATTGAATATAAAAATGGTATAGTCTTGTCTTTAGATTTATATATTTATTATTATAGCTTGAATATAATTAGTATTGTCTGCAAATATTTCAAATTTTTTGAATAGAAATTTAATGGGGAAGATATAAATTAATAAGGACATTTAATGAAATTTGTGTGTGTTGTTTGGTGTATAGCAATTTAGGTGAATGAATCAATGAGTGAGTGAATTAATTTGTAGGGGAAGGAACGTTTCGTTTCGAGAAATTGGTGTGAGTGTGTGTTTGTGTGTATGCGGTTTGCAGAAGAAGGAACCACTCGCTACACTTTTTTGTTCTTAAGATATTCAAGAAACTCGTTTCTAAGGAGTCATCTGTCATACGGAGGTACCGCATAATGATATATTTGTGTGCCTTTTTTTCACATAGCAGATGGGTCCATGAATATATGTGTGTGTGCATATATATATATTATATACATGCTATGTTTATGTATGTATATATATATAAAAAATATAAATCCTGTACCCCTTTTACAAGTTTGGAAGTGTAACAATGAGTAGTCGGCCATATTGACTACTCAAGAAGCCATGTTTTTACCTTAGGCGGATCGAGTTCGACGCCCACGACAAGTATATACTTGATCACAAAGATCTTACCGCGTATGTACCGGTAAATGTTTCACGGTCACTGTCTCCCCAGCATCCATCCGCCGCATATACCGGCACCAATACCCAGTGGCGTTACAAAACTAATTCCTCCCACAGACGCCGCAGAAGATCGGCCGCGCTGTTCTCTACACGATCACAATATTTATACCAATTCCGGATCGCAGCTGGCTTCCATCGACAATTATATAACCATAACTGAAACCTGTCAGTTTCTTTTGCTTTCTTTTAACCAACAATGATAAATTCTAGTCTTCGAGCATGTCTACGGAATCTTACGCAAAATGGTGGATAAAGACAAAGAAGGGGTTGGAGAATGTGCGGGAATACGACGAGGCCATGAAGAAGATGGAGTCGGTGAAGGATCGGAGCATAGCTTCTCGTCTGATCGGCGGACTATACGCTAGATACTGCATGATCATTCAAGACATAGATGCGTGTTTGGATCAGATGTGCCAGGTGCAAAAGAGCTTCACCATCAGGAAGCTCATGGACGCAGCCGCGACTCGTCTGAACGAGCTTAAAGACGAGATGACGAAGATCGATTTATCCGAATACCACTACATAGATGGAGCTTTGGTCGAGTTGAAAGTGATACCGCACTCTGTCGAGATCCTTCATCCGGCCATAATGTTTCCCAGGATGGGAAACATTGAAGATATTATCATTAAATTCAGGGTACGTTAAATAATTCAATACAAATGATCATCCAATACCCAATTATTTCAGAAAGGTGACATAGTGGAAAGTCCGTCGCGCGTTAAGAAGAAACCAAGCGCCATCGACAATTTGGTAGCCAGTGGTAAAGCTTCTTTGCACGCCATGCAATCGCAGTCGAATGTAACTGGAAGCAATCAAAATATCAACGCGTCTCCATCGAAAAAGTCGTTGAAAGCTAAATCGATAGTGCGTATGAACGCATCCAAAGCTGGATTAAAGGGAGCAGCATCCAAAGGCAAAGTTGATGGTAGGGCTTCAAAAGCAGATATAAACAAGAAACAGTCTAGGGTTCAAATTATGGAGACACCAGCCCAGGATGCTCAAACTCAGAAGGACGAGAAAGAAATCAAACCGGATGAACAAAAGAAGAAGCGTAAAAGGTGGAATTACATTAACGTTTAATTTAAATTATAAATAATTGTGCTTTTTAGAACGAGACCGAAGACCTACATGCTGGATACTCCGGTTTTGACTGATGAAGAGGCTGAAGCTAAAAGGAGGAAGGACGAGATGATCAGTTTCCTGAAGGTGATACAAACCCACGAAAGGGGACGCCAGGCGAGGCTCTATTACACGGATTTGGAACAAGCTAATAAAGCGCGGAAGACAACGACCAGCAACAAAGGTGGCGGTAGTGATCAAGATGATAAGGATATTAAAGAGAAAGCTGCTACAAAGATTCAAGCAACGTGGAGAGGTTACAAAGTCAGGTCTTATTTAAAGAAGAGAGAATTGGAGAAGCGCTTGCTGATTGGTAAATTGTCCGTGTTAATTTGATTAGTAATATTAATAAGTATGACGTTAGGGATGGATGAATCGAGTTGGAAGTCTAAAGAGGAATTCCAGAAGTTTCGGTCGAATCTCGAGAAGCGGAGGGCTATCCGCGATAAAAACTTTCGGGATTACTTGCAGGCTAATATCGATGAAAAGGATAGAGTGTTGAGGGTAATAGGGCCCGGTTTGTTCGAGGACATTGGCGACGAGATCAGAGAGTGGTTCAGGGATTGGTACGACGGTGCAAAGACCTTTATGGAAATTCCCGGTGAAGAAAAGGGCGGATCCATACTGATCGTCCGAGGTGAGACTTTAACGCCGGCGGAATTCTTGATCGATCAGGAAATGAAAAAGAAATCCAAGAAGAAGGCTAAGACCAAAGAGCAGATTGCGAAGGAGAAGAAGGCGGCGAAGGAGAAGCTGAAGAAGGAAGCGAAGGCGAAAAAGGAGAAGGAGCGAGCGGAGAGGAGGAAAAGAGCCAAGGAGTTCGAGATTAAGTTCGATGAGCCGACGGTGGCTGTTCAGAAATTCAAGACGGGATTCGATGAGTACAGGGAGATTTGGGATCCCATCAACGACGCGGATAATCCACTGGACAAACATTACATGCACATGATCACGGACGAGAAATGCTACGAGATGCAATTGGAAGTAAGGGAGCAAGTCGACATACTGATGCGTATCGAACTGGAGATATTGGATGAGGCTTTGCAGAAGGATAAATGGCTGAAGAAAAAGAAACGTAAAGGTAAGTTCAAACCGAAGAAGAAGAAAAAAAAGAAGAAGAAAGGCAAGAAGAAAAGGGGCAAGAAGGATCCGACGGCCTCCCGCACCGCCGAGGATTTGTTCCAGGAATTGGTGGATTACGGTATCATACGAAATTATCCGCCGGTGCGTATAAGCGATTTCAAAGGGGACTTCAGCTACCAGAACTGCGAGAAGCGGGAGCTCACCTTTGATCCTCCACCAACTCTGGGAGATGTCCGGCAGGCGGTCACGTTGAACTGTATCATGCCGTTGGGCGTCGAAACTTTGAACAAGCCCAAATCTGTGCTTATAGCAGGACCAAGGAAAAGCGGTAAACATTTACTGGCGAACGCAATATTCAATGAGACCCAGTGCGTGCTCTTCGACTTATCGCCAACGGTAATTGCAGGCAAATACGAAGGGAAAAAGGTGATGAAACTTGCAAAAAAAAAGTTATTTAAATACAGAACTGATTATAATGTTGCTTCAGGAAACGCAAATGTTGATACATCTAATCACTAAGATGTCTCGGATGCTGCAACCGTCGATCATATACATTGACGGAGCGGAGAAGAATTTTTATAAAAAGATACCAAAGAATGAAAAGGAACTGGATCCCAGACGAGTCGGGAAGTTTTTGCTGAAGAAAATAATTAAACCCATCACACCTGATGATCGTGTACTTGTGTTAGGCATCACTGGGCAGCCGTGGGCTGCTAAGGCGAACGGTATAAAGAAGGCCTATCAACGTGTAAGTAGTTTTGCTATCAAATTTTGAATCTGTCGGTGTTATATAGTTGGTGATAGGTGATACTGATCCCTCCGACCGATTACGGTAGCGTATTTTTGTACTGGAGGGAAATCCTGATGCCGTACCACGGTGTCGACAGAAGTATCAACTTGAGCGCCATCAGCAAGCTGACCGAAAAGTATCCGCTCGTCGAGTTAAACAAAGCCGTGAAGGAAGCTCTGTATCCGAAGAGAATAGTCCAATTGAGTTATCAGCCTCTGCAGCAAAGCGAGTTACTAGCGCCGCTGCTCGAAGGCCCCGGTCCCCTAACCGACAAAGAGCTCCAGAAGTTCCAGAAGTGGTACACGAAGACGGTGCTGGGCAAGCAGAGGAATAAGCTCAACAAGTTCAACGAGGTTATGAGGGAGAAACTGGCGAAGGCCAATGAGAAGAAGAACAAAAAGAAGAAGTAGTTATACGTTTGTTACTCTGCTGGTTCGGTTATGTTGTTGGATGGAAGGTGAGTACATAGGAAATCAATCAGAGCCGAGAGTGCAGTCTGGTGTTACGATCAGGGGGAGGCCGTGGCCCCCACATGTGATGCGAATCGGCGGCTGCATTCTCTGCTCTCTGTAAATAGCCCCGGGACTCAATAACAATTCCCCGCATAAGTTGCGCAGAGATAGAGAAGGGCCGCGAACGTCCCGGACCGTATAAAGCCATGGAACTCTGTTCAAGAACCGCCGAAGGGCCTTAACACTTTCTGTAATGGGAAAGGGAGAGGACAGGCTGGATCTGGGAGACACTCTTCAATCCTTCCTTTTTTTCAGTCCTTCCTTTTCCTTCGTCTTTCGCACTAAAGCACCCCAATAAATTTCACCATTGTAACGATTTAAAAAAAAAAGATATTTTTATTCCATTCCATTTTGAAGCATAAAATCAGTTAGACAAAAATGAACTACAAATACTAATTTACGTAACACAAACATCAAATAATTCTATAATTAGAGAGAAATAATAAAATACAAATTACAGTAAAAGTTTTTGTTAAGAGAACAATCATATGAATGAACTAAAATGTCTAAATTGCATCATCACAGATTTAATCAATTTAAATGTCTCCTATTGTAAATTCAAAGTTATTACGTGTGCATGTTCATCATAATAAGTTTGAATTACTCAGAGAAAGAGCAAAATTGATCTGAGTCAATTTAATTGCAGATACGTCTTTTGATTTCCGCCGCGGATGGCATTCGAATCCAATTAACAACGCGCGCCTTGAACATAAAATTGACGATGATGTCAAAATCGGCAAGATTCTAGGTATTCCATTTATTTTCGGTTTCCTAGTAACAAATTCACGATTTAAGGTCAGAGAACTTTAAATATGATCGAAAAAAACCTAAATTGAGATTTTTTGACATTTCTGGGTCAGTTCTGTATACAGTTTTCGTAGAAGCAACTCAAGACAAACGAAATAAAAAATAGAATTTAAATACTTGATAAACATTGTTCTAAGTTCAACAGAATTGCGTCAGAATTTATGATTTTTTTCTAAAATAATTGTATTTATTCATAAATAATAATTTTTAACATTATTTTAAGTTTTAATCAAAAAGATTAAAACACGATACTTTTTTTTTGAAAGGAAATGCATGAATTTTAATGTGATTAATATTTAAAACACGTTTTATGATTGATGTATTTCTTATAATAATTAATTCAAAAATAACGCCAACTTCAATTACTTTGCGAATAAATCGATACCACGTTTTATCTGACTATCTAATAATTATGATTATTATTAATACTAGTGAAACGCAAAATAAATAAAATTTTTGACCATAATTTATGCGAAATAAATGATTCATTTGCAGGAAACATTAATAAATCTTGTGTTACGAGATTGGCCTTCACCAGTTAACTGAAATTGACGTTTAATTGTTTAATTCCACTTAAAACCAAATAAAATTATAATTTTTGTATTTTTTCTTTTGAATCTTTGTAATTAATTTTAAATGTAAGTTTCATCACGCAACGATTTATTAAGTTTATATTAGATATAATTCCATATAAAACCAATAATTATAATTACAGAAATGCCTCGCATAGTGCTAATATACCGGACTGTTTGAAACAATACTAATGAACAAACTAAATACATACATAAATAAACTTAAAAATAAGTAGCCTAGGCTGGTTTGAGCAATAGAATCAAATTAAATCTGTGTTTATTGTAAAAACATAATAGTTTTCTCTATTTATTTTTATATTTAATAATAGGGTCGTCAAAATGACCCTAGGTGGTATTTGTGTTTTATTTATTTGTCCGTAGTAGTTACGAGTTAATTGAGATGTTTAATTAAAATGTAAGCTTTATTTAGCAACGGTTTATTAAGTTTATAGTAGATATAATTCCATACAAAACTAATAATTAGAATTACAGAAATGCCTCGCATAGTGCGGGTAATCGCCAATATGCCGGACTGTTTGAAACAATACAAATGAAGGAAATAAATACATACATAAATAAATAAACTTAAAAATAAGTAGCCTAGGCTGGTTTTAGCAATAAAATCAAATTTAATCTGTGTTTATTGTAAAAACATAATAGTTTTCTCTATTTATTTTTATATTTAATAATAGAGTCATTTTGACTCATAGGTGGTATTTGCGTTTTATTTATTTGTCCGTAGTAGTTTCTAGTTAATTGAGATGTTTAATTAAAATTTAAGCTTTATTTAGCAACGGTTTATTAAGTTTACAGTAGATATAATTCCATACAAAACTAATAATTATAATTACAGAAATGCCTCGCATAGTGCGGGTAATCGCAAATATGCCGGACTGTTTGAAACAATACTAATGAAGAAAATAAATACATACATAAATAAATAAATAAAGCTAAAAATAAGTAGCTTAATCTGGTTTGAGCAATAAAATCAAATTTAATCTGCGTTTATTGTAAAAACATAATAGTTTGCTCTATTTATTTGTATATTTAATAATGGAGTCATTTTGACCCATAGGTGGTATTTGTGTATTATTTATTTGTCCGTAGTAGTTTCTAGTTAATTGAGATGTTTAATTAAAATTTAAGCTTTATTTAGCAACGGTTTATTAAGTTTATAGTAGATATAATTCCATACAAAACTAATAATTCTAGTAACAGAAATGCCTCGCATAATGCGGGTAATCGCCAATATGCCGGACTGTTAGAAAAAATACAAATGAAGGAAATAGATACATACATAAATAAATAAATTTAAAAATAAGTAAGGTTTGAGAAATAAAATCAAATTTAATCTGTGTTTATTGTAAAAACATAATAGTTTTCTCTATTTATTTTTTAATAATAGGGTCATTTTGACCCCTAGGTGGTATTTGTGTTTTATTTATTTGTCCGTAGTAGTTACGAGTTAATTGAGATGTTTAATTAAAATGTAAGCTTTATTTAGCAACGGTTTATTAAGTTTATAGTATATATAATTCCATACAAAACTAATAATTAGAATTACAGAAATGCCTCGCATAGTGCGGGTAATCGCCAATATGCCAGACTGTTTGAAACAATACAAATGAAGGAAATAAATACATACATAAATAAATAAATCTAAAAATAAGTAGCTTAAACTGGTTTGAGCAATAAAATCAAATTTAATCTGTGTTTATTGTAAAAACATAATAGTTTGCTCTATTTCTTTTTATATTTAATAATGGCGTCATTTTGACCCATAGGTGGTATTTGTGTTTTATTTATTTGTCCGTAGTAGTAACGAGTTAATTGAGATGTTTAATTAAAATGTAAGCTTTTAATAATTCTAGTTACAGAAATGCCTCGCATAATGCGGGTAATCGCCAATATGCCGGACTGTTAGAAACAATACAAATGAAGGAAATAAATACATACATAAATAAATAAAGCTAAAAATAAGTAGCCTAGACTGGTTGTGGTATTTGTGTATTATTTATTTGTCCGTAGTAGTTTCTAGTTAATTGAGATGTTTAATTAAAATTTAAGCTTTATTTAGCAACTGTTTATTAAGTTTATAGTAGATATAATTCCATACAAAACTAATAATTCTAGTTACAGAAATACCTCGCATAATGCGGGTAATCGCCAATAAGCCGGACTGTTAGAAACAATACAAATGAAGGAAATAAATACATACATAAATAAATAAAGCTAAAAATAAGTAGCCTAGACTGGTTTGAGCAATAAAATCAAATTTAATCTGTGTTTATTGTAAAAACATAATAGTTTGCTCTATTTCTTTTTATATTTGATAATAGGGTCATTTTGACCCATAGGTGGTATTTGTGTTTTATTTATTTGTCCGTAGTAGTTACGAGTTAATTGAGATGTTTAATTAAAATGTAAGCTTTATTTAGCAACAGTTTGCAAGTTTGTATCGGAGCCTACTTTGTTGTAACATTTATTGCGTGGTTTCATTGCAAATTGATTTAAAGTGTCCATAAAGTGAGTAATTGTTTCGTCGGGAAATGGCAGCAATTAAGTATATATATCATACGTTAAATGCCTCGCAGCTATTTCGAGAACTATATCGGCCGATTGATTTCAGGAAGTTGATTATTATTATCATTATCATCATCATGATGTTGGTACGTCAAATATTTACAGGGTGCCCATAACGTCATGTCGAACTGCAAACATTGCGCAGCAATAATAAACTTCTCGTCATGCCGAAACAAAGGATTGCCAAAGTGGAGGTGCACCCTACACACACACGTGATCATAACCTGCAGATATATTTGCAGATACCTGTTATTAATTATCGTGATCGTGCCCGGTTCCGCAAACGAATCGGTAATGCAAATAATTAACCTTGTTTCTCTCCACTGTTATATTCTCGTGCATTATTTTTGATTTTAATTGGTGTCCACCGCCGTTCGGTTTTTTGCATATTTCGGAAAACATAAAGGATAATTACAATATTTAAGCGCGCCTTGCGAAACACCTGTATTCGCGTTCGTGATATTCGCGCTCCAGTAATAATTACCACTACGGTGGCGGTGGCGAAATTCTTTGCATCGATGGTAAGAAGCATTCGGAAAAAAAGGATTCGCAATTGCGAGCTCTGTATTGGCCATCGAATTAACGTCCGTTGAGGCCCCAGAGCCAATCGGATTACAATCTTCTTCGTATCTTACATTAACTTTAATGTCCATAAAATACAACAGAAGAAATAAAAAAAGATGCAACAGGAACGGAATATTCATGCGTTTCTCTTCGCTCATCAATGGCCATTCAGGTATTTCAGGTGTACCAACTTAGATGGAGTTAATGTGTTTTTAAACGAACTCATTAATCTCTCTAAAAAAGTTTATTTATGATGCTCGAGATGGAACTAATTACGATTGATTTTATTCAAGATAACAAACATATTTCACTTTATAATAATTTTCAAATTTCCCGTTTCCCGGGAACAAAACACATTTCCATACGTTTCTT